ACATAAAATAAAACAGATATTGTTACATTTTATATTTTAGCTAATTAGCAATCGTTCATCATAATTCATACTTCATTAAAAGTAGCACATTATATGAAAGAGCTACATTATAACACTGCGAATAAAAATCATTGCCTGTGAAATTTCGCATGTGAAATCATATGAACAAAAATCATCATTTCATATAATGAAAATGAATGAAAAATAGCAATCATTTCCATGCCTAGACCCTATTAATTTCATTATGTATTACATATAATCAGAGTAAATACAAATGAGTAGGTTATCTTCGTAGAAACGCACAGGGCGCGGTTTGTATGTGAGCGCGCCAATACGTATGCGGCGCGCACGCACACACTGACAAAATTTAGCGTGGATTAGCGGGGACTCTCAGTCGTGGTTGCGCCGAATTTTGTCAGTGCGTGCGTGTGCGCCGTATACGTATATTGGCCCGCTCACATACAAACCGCACTCGGTGCGTTTCTATGAAGATAACCTACTCATTTGTATTTACTCTGTTATAGGTAATATTTAGTCGCTCAACGTAACAAGGACTAAAGCCTGGTCCGTGAGCACGTAGAATTTTGTCCAATGACCCCAAGCTACCCATCCTTATCGCTCGCGCGTAATTATGTTGCTGTCGCGCTCGCACACTCACTGCGGGCGCCCGTCGCACAGTCGCGACAGCAATATAATTACGCGCGAGCGATAAGGATGGGTAACTTGGGGTCATTGGACAAAATTCTACGTGCTCACGGACCAGGCTTTAGTCCTTGTTACGTTGAGCGACTAAATATTACCTATAACGGAGTAAATATGCTTTAGATGAATGCGATAGTAAAAAAAAAACTTTATTTTTTATTCTCATCCGTGTCAATATTTTAAAACAACCGCGTCCAGTACCCGCCGCCCCTAACAGCCCCTCTGATGGAATTCTTACTGAGTTTTTAATAGAGAGCGGCCGCAACCCTCTCGTTATGATTAGTTATTGCATTTTGGAGGGGCGTATTGACAAACTTCGCCAAGAAGGGAATTAAAAAACCGGCCAAGGGCGAGACGGACTCGCGCACGAAGGGTTCCGTACAACAATTTTGTTGTTGTGTGGGCCCTCTTTAATGTTTATTTTAATTTAATTATTTATCTTTAAAGTGAGTATTTATTAACTTTATTTTATTTCTATTATTTGTTGTTATAGCCGCTACAGAAATACATAAACTGTGAAAATATCAACTGTCCAGCTACCTATCATGGTTCATGAGAGCCTGGTGAACAATATCGATCAATGACGGAAAAAACACGTTTTTTTGTATGTGAGCCCCCTTAAATATTTACTTTATTCATTTTTAGTATTTTTTGTTATAGCCGCAACAGAAACACATTCGTTCGTTTCAGCCAAATGACGTCCACTGCTGGACAAAGGCCTCCTCCAAGGTTTTCCACAATGCACGGTCCTGCGCTGCCCGCATCCAGGCTCTTCGCGCGACCTTTACCAGATCGTCGGTCCACCTAGTAGGAGGCCTGCCCACGCTACGTCTTCCAGCCCGTGGTCGCCACTCGAGAACTTTTCTGCCCCAACGGCCATCGTCTCTACGAGCTATGAAACACATTATCTGTGATTTTTTTATGAAAAAACTGTCCAGCTATCACGGTTCATATAAAGCGCAGTCTTAGAAATAGGGTCCCGTTTTCACCTTTTGGTTACGGAACCTTAAAAATCACCGGCCGAGACACCCATTAATGATTTACAAGATTTTTTGAGGAGCTCTTTAAATAATGGCCTGTAATTAACTGAAGGGCTTTGACATCTTACGCAAAGTAATGTTACGAGATTGGAAAGTTGGTTATTAAAAATGAGAAAATGCAGCGCTGTGATTTTTAAACGTTGAGAAATTGTTTTAAAATTTCGCTTCGTTTTTAGATTTGTGTCAGAATCAGACATCTTTAAAAATAACAGAGGGCTGATTGTGAGTTTTCTCACTAGTGAGCGCGTCAAAAAATGACATTTAATGTATGACGGATTGTACAGCGGCCCTAGCCGGAAACGTTCAAAAACTAAAATTTTCATACATTTTTTAAACGCGCTCACTAGTGAGCGCTTTTGATGTAAACTCACACTCAGCCCACTAATAAGAAACAACGTAAAACGCATTTAAACGTGAGATTTGTAAATGTTTTTTTTTTTGTTGAGTGTCATATTTAACCTATTTTATAATGGCACACATGGAAAAATAATGAGTTTCTTATGCCTCTAATACAGAAGATAGCTAATGAAGCTAAAGTTTATCATCAGTTGATAGTACTCACTCATGAGCTATGATACCAATCGCACGCCAATGTCAAGTCAAGTCAAGTCAAAATTTCTTTATTTGTTTAGACTAATAAATAGTTCTTACAAATCGTCATTTTGCTCTTAAGGAGCCTCTACATGTCTCATAATCTTTTTACCCTACCAGCGCTTCGAGATCAACTTTTGGCAAGTGCTGAGAAGAAGCGCCACAACAAACAAAATGATAAAGTCTTATGTGCTTCCATACATCATCATAGGCACGCTTACTGTAAGCCAGAGGTAGAAAGGCACTAAAAATTTCGAAAATTTACAAAAAAAGGTTGACAAACGCCGATTCGGAAAACTGAATGGACTTCATTCCGTGGGTATGTCGTATCAGTTAAAGAAGGCACAAAAGGCACATTGCTACGTCACACCGAAGTGCGAGCGGGCATGGGTTAATTATTTCTTTTTGTGCGGCCGCGCGCCGGGAGATTGCCGTGATTACGCGACTGCGCGATGTGGCATAGAGTAAAGAAAATAGAGGTTGGGTTTTATGCCTACATTTGAGATGTCTCTAGGAGGACAAATTAAAAGTAACTAGAATAAAAAAATATTCATTCCGTCAGCTAAAGTAGGCATTTTGCGACGTGACACCGAAGGAGCATAGAGGTTGGGTTTAATACCATCATGTCTCTCGGAGAAAATCTTGACTGGATCCTAAATAATATTAAACTTCTTTCGTTTCCACGTGTCACGAAAGTCTGTCTCTATTGTCGGCCGTTTGGTGTAGTGGTTCAGAACGGACTACTATGCCGAGAGGTCCCGGGTTCGATTCCCGGCCGGGCAGAAATTGAAATGATGAATTTTAATTTCTGTGACGGGTCTGGGTGTGACTATGTATAATATTTATGTATTTAAAAAAGAAAGTATATAAGTAGTATATCCGTTAAGCTAGCACCCATAACACAAGCATTAAGTTGCTTACTTTGGGGCTAGCTGGCGCTGTGAAATTGTCCAAAGATTTATTTATTTATTTATTTATTGTCCACAAATCCCTGAATTTTTACTTGGTTAGCCACGTTAGTCGCGTTTTTTAAAACATTTGCAAAATACCATATACCTAACTATTCTACAAGTAAATCCAAGCAAAATGAATACAGTTTTCGCTATAATATATATTGCAGACACAGATTACGCAAACCGTGTACCCACCGTGTGTATTCAGTTTTACAATACAAACTTCTCTTTATTTATGTTTCATTTTTGTCTATCCTTAATATTTTCCCCAATAGCTATACTCTAATCCTAGTAACCATAAGTTAGGCATATTAAAAAATGTTTCGATCCGTTTGGCGTTTCTGCACATCGTTTAGTCTATGCGAAACGTTCCAGCGCTTTCACGCTCTCACAATACGCGATGCAGATTCCGCAAACACAGTTCTAATTAGCGGGATTCGTAGAGTGCAGCTATACAGGGTGTTCGCAAACACTATGAGCTAAATAATAATAGCGGCAAATACGACATACTAAGGTTTACTGAGCATGTTTGGAGACGTATTGCACTCGGCATGATAGTTAAATATTCGATAGTAGATTAAAACTTCACATTATCAACACTATAAAAGCAGTGTGATAATAATAATAATTTATTGTAAAATGGTTGCTTGTTTTTAATTAATAGTAACACAACGGGTTCGGTGTCAAATTGCCGACTCGCTAGAATCGGTAGAGGTCGATTCATGCTCATCATTACTTGAATAAAAACGTTTTGAGGAACACTACCTCGATCCCCTGCTAACCTTGGATTGGTTTGTGGTGGGGTGGACCCACTTTGAACACAAGCAAATATATTTGAGCTAGAATATTAGTTATTATGCGTAAAATAATAAGAAATTAAACATAATTATTTATATTTAAAAATCAAAGTCAATTAATTTTGTGTTCGTGGATTTGCATAAGTGTAGACAATTAAAAAATAACTTGACACTGGCCAAATGTAAGCCGCTCGAAGCCATAATAGAAAAAAAATATCATGCCCTGTATACCTCGGTCTCAATATGCCCGGCGTTGATATATTCTATCTTGCCATGAGCCCCAATCTGCGCGCCCATTCACGCGGTAACGACCTCTTTAGTGAGTTTAGTGGAACCGCGTTAGCTAACCACACATAGTTTTGTAACTGTACATCTACTTATGTTTTTTTTTCATTATGGCTTCGAGAAAAACCGACTAACCGTCTATTTTGCCAGTGTCAAGTAAAATGATACATTCAATAGTGAATGAATGGATAAATGATATGATATTCCCCCATTCTCCTTGAGTTTCAGTAAAGATGTGGCACTTTACTGTGACTTAAGATCGACTTCTTCAAGGAATTTAAAGACAGTTATTTCATTGCCCTTATGTACAGACGATTGTAAAACGTAAACTAAAGGGCTTATATTTTTTTTTATGTTAGACAAGGCAGGTATTTGACCACAATCGCACCTGGTGTTAAGTGAGATGCAGTCTAGGATGGTACATATCTGCCCTGTAAGTGCCTATTATAAAAGTTAAGATTCTTTTTTGCAACAAAAATGCCCGATGTCAACAGTAGTAACCTGAAAAGTACGGCCTGGTGCATAGCGGTTACCAGGCGTGCCGAGAAGTTTAAAGCCACTTTCAATAATTTTAAAACATTATTCAAAGCCCTAATAATATTTCTTTCTGGTTTTAGAACCAAGAAACTTACCTGCGGCGTAGTTTTCTCGATCTCCTTAGGCTTCAACCGCTGCAAATGGTTCGGCAGGCGGCTTTCTTTGACTTCCTTGCTGGTGGCGCCATCTTTGCTGGTACCTTCTTTGCTTTCTGTGGACTTGCGTTTGGTCACTTCCTTGTTTGTGTTGCTGACTCTTTGCGCCTATAAGGTAAACACAGATTAATGACAGCCCACACGATAGAATAAAGGCGGATTTATACAGGGTGGTAACGATAAGTGATCTCACTCGATTATTTCTAAACTATACAAGATATCAATAAACTAGTTATTGATCCTGAAAGTGCTTCATGAGCTCTATCAAACGGTATTAATAATAGGTTACAGAATAAACTGGATCTATCCGAAACTTCAATGTTTCCAGCTTCCATACATTTGGTAAAGTCACATTATTTAAAAAACTACATATGATATCGTAAAACTGATTACTGATTCTAAAAGTGCTTCACAAGCTCTATCCAATGGTATCAATAATAGGTTACAGAATAAACTGGATCTAACCAAAAATTCAATGTTTCCTTCTTCCATACATTTAGTACTACCACAGTCATGACACTCATCTCTTGACAATATTATAGCAAGTAAAGCCTAAAACCAATGTTTTTCATTAATAATTTAAAATAAGAATACAATTTACGAGTTTATTTTAAGTATTTATTATTAAATTAAAAAAATTACACTTCTAATATTGTGTGTCTGGCATACATTTAGTATGGAAGCTGGAAACATTGAATTTTCAGATAGATCCAGTTTATTCTGTAACTTATTATTGGTACCGTTTGAAAGAGCTCATTAAGCACTTTCAGGATCAGTAACCAGTTTTTTAATATCTTGTATAGTTAAGAAATAATCGAGTGAGATCACTTAACGTTTCCACCCTGTATAGGTCTGGTGTATTTTGTCGTCGTGACGCATCAGAAAGAAATCAGTTTCATTTTAGTATATTATTTATGTCCAGCCAAATGAAGCACCGAATTCGGCTTTTATGTTTTTGAACCTGGCAACCCTAATTCCGCTCTGATGCGTCATGACACAACACGTCAGACAAATATAAATCCAGCTTAAAATCTGTCTTAATTTACTACCACACGATAGAAGAAGTGTAAGCTTACCATTTCTTCACTGCGCTTTATCATTTCCAACTGCTGTTCTCTCGCTATGGCTTGCCGCACTGCCGGTGGTGGTCTCAGTCTCTCGTGATTACCTAAATTGAAAATAGTATTTACACACTTGCTCGTAGTGGCTCTTATTGCATAGTTTTAAAGTACATTATTAAATAGCGTACGTTTTTGATTAGGTATTGAATATAATGTTGGTGTTTGATAATTGTGCTTGTTGCTGAATTAATTGGTGGACTCGGTAATAATATCAGTGTCCAGTATAAATACTATATTTAAGGGTAGTACTACCCAACATTAATGAAATAAAGGCTGGCATATTACACTTGAAAATTTCGACGGGTTCATCCAGTGTCTAAGTAGCTCAGATAGTAGAGCAGTCACCTGGTGAGCGAAAAGCTCGATTACCGCCTTAGGCACTTCGATTTTTTAAAGTTATTTATAATTTATAGATCGTTTCATCCACGAAGACGCGCCCCACCAATTTTTGGTCGAGGGAAGCGCGGGGTGCGGGGATTTTGATCCGAGCAATCCAAGTGTCATTATTGTAGTGTGCGTGTGCACTCATGGATAATTTAGCCTGTACCGATAAACACTAAAACATTAGTGGAAGAATGGGGCGCGTCTTCGTGGATGAAACGATATATAGTTTGAGATGCAACTCTTAATGCTAGAGCGCGTAGTCTCATCGCCTGATAAAGTCTCACCGAAGAGAGCCACCTTGTTGACATCGGGCTCCAGTGTGAAAGCGTACAGGCCTTCTGGCGTGCGTTGCTGCACGTATTGCAGCGCGTAGTCGCACATCACTTGCCTCTAGAGTCTCAGAGACTATTTAGCAGGAAAGTGAAACGTCAAAAGAAATGTCTATTTCCAAAAAGAGAGATGATACAAATATTCTTGACAACAATACTAGCCATGCACTAGATGCTAAACTATTTAAATAACCGCTTCTGTGGTCTAGTGGTAAGACCACCTGTTTCAGACGCAGAGGTCCCGGGTTCGATTCCCAGTGGGGGCAGATTTTTCTGTTCGGTTTGGTTGGTGGTAGGGCTTGTTCTAAGTCCGCCTGGCTAGCTACCACCATCTTACCTAAGTCTGTCGCCATAACAACAATGTTAACAGCATTGTTGTGTACCGGCAGTTAGTGGTAAGATAGCCAGTTCCTCCGTGGTTGAGGATTCCGGGTGAAGCTCGCTTCCACCTTCGGCCTGATCGTCACTTACCATCAGGTGAGATACAGGCCAAGAGCTTCCTCGTTGTGGATAAAAAAAAATTGCTAGTTAAGACCCAAACTAAGCAGTATAGCTTTATTATGTATGCTAAATGATATATGTATAAATTAATGATGATGATGATCTAAAGTCTGGTCCATGAGCACGTATAATTTTGTCCAATGACCCCAAGCTACCCATCCTTATCGGTCGCGCGTAATTATGTTGCTATCGCGCTCGCACACTCACTGCGGGCGCCAGTCGCACAGTCGCGACAGCAACATAATTACGCGCGAGCGATAAGGATGGGTAGCTTGGGGTCATTGGACAAAATTCTACGTGCTCACGGACCAGGCTTTAGAGACGACAAGAGTCACCACGAGTCTCACCGAAGAGAGCCACCTTGTTGACATCTGGCTCCAGCGTGAAAGCGTACAGGCCTTCCGGCGTGCGTTGCTGCACGTATTGTAGCGCGTAGTCGCACATCGCTGAGGCACACGTGCGTAACGCTTTGCGTTCCGTCTCCCTGTACAGCTGGAAGGAAAATGCAATGGTTAACAATCATGATGTCGTCAAAATACATAGCATTGACAATGAGGGCTATCGTTTTAGCGCTCACCAGTTAGCGCCACTGTAGAGTAAGGTCCTGTCAATCGCCAGGGGTGCCAACTGTTAAGTATAAAAAAATAAAAAATAGCCCTCATTAAACAAAACTAAGATGTTGTTTCTCGACATGTAAGGGCCACACAAGCGGCTGCATAACGCGAGATCAACGCGGCGCTGGCGTCACGTTATTTAATTTAACCATTAATAAGGCAAAGGGAATTTGGTTACCTCCTTATTCTATTTTGAACTTTATTCCCTAGCTAGCTAGACTTAGTCTAGAAACAATAAAAAAAATATTTCCTCTGCCTTATTGAGATTAAAGAGTCTGTATCCGCGCCAATGCTCCGCAGGCGCTGTCGAGACGACGACGTTCCGACGACGCTAGAAAGACACTAGTGTGGAGGTTCCCTGAGTATTATGTGACGTCATTAACAGCACAAAACGTCTGGCAGTCCAGTCTCAGGACGTCATCTACTAATCATAGGCCTCTCCTAATGATTTCGATATTGGTAGCGGCCTGCATCTAGACATTATCTTTAAAATAATTACATAAAAACAACCGATTTATCGTGTGTCTTCACAGGCTATAGTGTATTAATTCATACCTGTATGTTGGCAGTAGGCGCCAACAAATACGGCAGTAGCGGTATGACGTCGAGCTGAAGCGCGCGCCTCGTCAGCGCTACGTTCGGCGCGCTATAACGCCATACTGACCACACAATGCTGTCTAGCTCAGTCTTCTTACGGTGCGCCTGTAACAAACAGTTTTAATATAAACATCAACCTATACTTGTAGTATAGTACGACACAGTTCACAGAATCGCTAAGCTGAAATGACAGTGAGTGGGGAACATAGCTTGTAGAAGGGACAGTCTAGGCAGACACATCTTCGAGTCGCGACCACAGCAAGGATAATTATGTTAACAGCCACCCACTAGATGGACCGACCTGAAAAGCGCAGGATTTGTCGTTGCGCAAATCCGTCCGCCGACGTCTTTAAGTTAAAAGAGAGAAAGAAAACACCAATCTTCTGCATGGCGTCGTAGTCGCAGCCAGGATAGCGTCTCGCAGGCGAGTAGCGAGCGAACGTTCACACATGACTAAAAGGAGTTCCTAGAGACGAGTATCCTATGGCAGCCGACGATACACTGCGGCAACTGCAGATACAGCGAGTTTTCCGATGATGAAGCGACCAGGAGTGCACAGCGTCAGACAACCGCTGCAACTTTTCTTAGAATATAATATACAAACAGCATTTATAATAAGCACCTACCTCCTGCGCTTGCATAGGGAACTTGACTCGCTGCGGATTCCTAGAGGCGAGTATCCTGTGGCACCGCACGATACACTGCGGCAACAGCCCATACAGCGAGTAGTTCTGGTGACGGAGCGTCCAGGATAGCGTCTCGCAAGCGAGTAGCGAGCGAGCGTTCACACATGACTAATACGGGTTCCTAGAGGCGAGTATCCTATGGCAACCCACGATACACTGCGGCAACAGCCCATACAGCCAGTAGTTCTGGTGACGGAGCTTCCAGGATAGCGTCTCGCACGCGAGTAGCGAGCGAGCGTTCACACATGACTAATCCGGGTTCCTAGAGACGAGTATCCTATGGCAGGCAAAGATACACTACGGCAACTGCAGATACAGCGAGTTTTCCGATGATGAAGCGTCCAACAAACGCTGCAACTTTTCTTAGAATAAAATATACAAATAGCAGTCATAGTAAGCACCTACCTCCTGCGCTTGCATAGGGAACTTGACTCGCTGTGGGTTCCTAGAGGCGAGAATCCTGTGGCAGCCCAGGATACACTGCGGCAACATCCCATACAGCGAGTTTTCTGATGATGAAGCGTTCAGAAGTGCACAGCGTCAAACAATCGCTGCATCTTTTCTTAGAATAAAATACACAAACAGCAGTCATAGTAAGCACCTACCTCCTGCGCTTGCATAGGGAACTTGACTCGCTGCGGGTTCCTAGAGGCGAGTATCCTGTGGCACCGCACGATACACTGCGGCAACAGCCCATACAGCGAGTAGTTCTGGTGGCGGAGCTTCCAGGATAGTGTCTCGCACGCGAGTAGCGAGCGAGCGTTTACACATGACTAAAAGGGGTTCCTGGAGGCGAGTATCCTATGGCAGCCCAAGATACACTGCGGCGACTGCAGATACAGCGAGTTTTCCGATTTTGTAGCGTCCAGGAGTGCACAGCGTCAAACAACCGCTGCAACTTTTCTTAGATAAATAGCAGTCTTAGTAAGCACCTACCTCCTGCGCTTGCATAGGGAACTTGACTCGCTGCGGATTCCTAGAGGCCAGTATCTTATGGGCAGCCCACGATACACTGCGGCAACTGCAGATACAGCGAGTTTTCTGATGACGAAGCGTCCAAGAGTGCACAGCTTCAAACAACCGCTGCAACTTTTCTTGGAATAAAATATACAAATAACGGTTATAGTAAGGACCTACCTCCTGCGCTTGCATAGGAAACTTGACCCGCTATAGGTTCCTAAAAGTGAATATAAAGCAACAAGATCAGTTTAACAAAATAATATCATAGTAAGCACCTACCTCCTGCGCTTGCATAGGGAACTTGACCCGCTGCGGGTTCCTAGAGGCGAGTATCCTGTGGCACCGCACGATACACTGCGGCAACAGCCCATACAGCGAGTAGTTCTGGTGACGTAGCGTCCAGGATAGTGTCTCGCACGCGAGTAGCGAGCGAGCGTTCACACATGACTAAAAGGAGTTCCTAGAGGCGAGTATCCTGATAAGATAAGATAAGATAAGATATTATCTTATCTTATCTTATCTTAGGGAACTTGACTCGCTGCGGGTTCCTAGAGGCGAGGATGAGGAGTTCCTATGGCAGCGCACGATACACTGCGGCAACTGCAGATACAGCGAGTTTCTCGCATGCGAGTAGCGAGCGAGCGTTCACACATGACTAATATGGGTTCCTAGAGACGAGTATCTTATGTCAGCCCACGATACACTGCGACAACTGCAGATACAGCGAGTTTTCCGATGATGAAGCGTCCAGGAGTGCACAGCGTCAAACAACCGCTGCAACTTTTCTTAGATAAATAGCAGTCATAGTAAGCTCTTACCTCCTGCGCTTGCATAGGGAACTTGACTCGCTGCGGGTTCCTAGAGGCGAGTATCCTGTGGCAGCGCACGATACACTGCGGCAACAGCCCATACAGCGAGTAGTTCTGGTGGCGGAGCGTCCAGGATAGTGTCTCGCACGCGAGTAGCGAGCGAGCTTTCACACATGACTAAAAGGAGTTCCTAGAGGCGAGTATCCTATGGCAGCCCACGATACACTGCAGCAACTGCAGATACAGCGAGTCTTCCGATGATGTAGCGTCCAGGAGTGCACAGCGTCAAACAACCGCTGCAACTTTTCTTAGATAAATAGCAGTCATAGTAAGCACCTACCTCCTGAGCTTGCATAGGGAACTTGACTCGCTGCGGGTTCCTAGAAGCGAGGATCCTGTGGCACCGCACGATACACTGCGGCAACAGCCCATACAGCGAGTAGTTCTGATGACGGAGCGTCCAGGAATGCACGGCGTCGTACAATCGCAGCCAGGATAGCGTCTCGCACGCGAGTAGTAAGCGAGCGTCCACGCGTGCTTGGAGGTAGTTCTCGAATATTCCGTCGACTAATCTGTAAACAACATTAAGTAAGCATATTTATACATACTTATGTAAGAGGCGATTTAGGACTACGCATCAAACAGAGAACGGGCAGCAGCCCTCTCTAAAAAACATCAATCTTTTAAACTGCGGTCTTCGACCCGCCTGCCAAGCGTGGGGATTATGGCAAAACTTTCCACTATAGCGGAAGAGGCTCATAGTCCAGCAGTGGACTGTAAAGGGCTGTTGATGATGATGATGATGAAATATGTATTTTCTCATTATTTTTTCTCGTAACTCTCTTGTCTTTGTGCCATCACCTATAATCCTATGTGAACAGTTTGAAATTGACAAAACTAAACAACATTAGTCGTTTTACGCAGGAATAGAAACCTACTCTTTTCATTGGTCCTTCGAGCCGGATTAACGGATAAATAATTTTAAATTCTGTTTATTTATTTAACTTAAAGACTTTATTGCACACATAAAAATGATCAGTACAAAAACTTTATACATATAATATTATGTTTATATCTGAAAGCTTTTTTGCATTTAAATGATTACGAGTAGTGTAAAGACACTTAAAACAACTGACCTATCATATTCCCCTGCGGCTTGCACTGTCTTCGCAATAGCATTTGGGTCCTTATCATTGGTGGTGAACACCGCACTCAATGCTTGCATCATGCTCTTGCTGCAGTCTTTATAGCCCACTGACGTGTTTTCCACATCCTCCATGCTTACCTGGAATTCAAATATAGGCCATTTAATTATGTCAAAATCCATCTGACATCAAGTCAAGTAATATGTCAGAATCTTATGTCACATCTATGACACGGCAGAAGATTATAGGACTGGTTTGTTGGTTAGTAAACCCACACATCACTCCTTGCGCACCGCCCATCATTTTCGTGCCTGTATCAAACTTGGTGAAGCTCAGCACGTTTATAGCAGAGTGCATGTAACTCCGCCCACTTATGTTATATTAACGCTATCGCGGACCTGACTACTCTCGGATCTCTCAGGAACTCTCAGGAACTCTCAGGAACTCTCAGGAACTCTCAGGAACTCTCAAGAGCTCTCAGGAGCTCTCAGGAGCTCTCTCTCTCCTATTCCCACTGACCTATTCCGCCCTCGCCTTAATAAAGCTGAGCGCGTGTATAGCGGAGCGCACGTAGTATCTCGCAGAAGAGAACGAAATCCACCTGCACCTCTACTCTCAGGAGCTCTCAGGAGCTCTCAAGAGCTCTCAGGAACTCTCAGGAGTGTACTGTCTCCACTGATCTGCTCCGCGCGCGCCCTGATGAAGCTGAGCACGTATATAGCGGACCTGATTACCCCTCTGCCTACCGGGTAGGAGGGTTACCCCTCTGGTATCTCCACTGACCTTCATGACTTCATTCATCATCCTTTCGCTAGCGCCCCTTGCCTCCTATGAGAAGACTTTCTCGCAGAAGAAAACAAAATCCACCTGCACCTTTACTCTCAGGAGCTCTCAGGAACTCTCAGGTTCTCTCAGGATCTCTCAGGATTTCTCAGGATCTCTCAGGATTTTTCAGGAGCTCTCAAGAGCTCTCAGGAGCTCTCAGGAACTCTCAAGAGCGTCCTATTCCCACTGACCTGCTCCGCCCTCGCCTTAATAAAGCTGAGCGCGTGTATGGCTGCGCGCACGTCGCCGTGCACGCGAGCCGCCAACGCCGCCAGCACGTGCGGCGGAGCGCTGTAATGAAGCAACCCCTGCGCTTTAGCCGATCTGCTCCGCCCTCGCCTTAATAAAGCTGAGCGCGTGTATAGCGGACCTGACTACCCCCCCCCCCTGTCCTATTACCCCTCTGCCTATCGGGTAGGAGCGTACCATCCCTACATTGTCGACATTCCACCAGCTCGCACTAAGCGTTTCGACGACTCGTTTATAATGCGAACAGCTAGGGACTGGAATTCGCTGCCTGCTGCTGTATTTCCTGAACACTATAATCCGGGCGTTTTCAAGGCGAGAGTGAATAGACACTTACAGGGCAGATTTGTACCATTCTAGACTGCATCTCGCTTAACACCAGGTGCCATTCATCATCATCATCATCATGTCAGCCATAGGACGTCCACTGCTGAACATAGGCCTCCCCCAATGCTTTCCGCGTTGATCGATTGGTAGCGGCCTGCATCCAGCGCTTCCCTGCTACCTTTACGATGTCGTCGGTCCACCTTGTATGTGGACGTCCCACGCTGCGCCTTCCGGTACGCGGCCTCCGTTCCAGAACCTTGCTGCTCCATCGGCCGTCAGTTCTGCGCACTATGTGCCCTGCCCATTGCCACTTCAGCTTGCTAATCCGTCGGGCTATGTCAGCGACTTTAGTCGTTTACGGATTTCCTCATTGCCATTGCGGTCAAATAACTGCCTTGTCTTGCATAAAAAAAAATCTACTGACCTGCTCCGCCCTCGCCCTAATAAAGCTGAGCGCGTGTATGGCTGCGCGCACGTCGCCGTGCACGCGAGCCGCCAACGCTGCCAGCACGTGCGGTGGCGCGCTGAGGCCCTCGCGCGAGCACACGCGCGCTAATCGGCTCGAGATGCGTTGGAGGGAGACTCCGCCCACTTGGATTAATGAAGCAACCCGCTGCCCTTTAGCTCTCGCTTCGATAAAGCTCAGCGAGTGTGTAACGGACCTGACAACCCCCCCTAATCCCCCTGCCTACCGAATAGGAGCGTTACCCCTCTGCCTACCGGGTAGGAGCGTCCTATCTCCACTGACCTGGTGCTGACTGACCTAGACCAGAGGTCTCTGGATCTCTCAGAAGCTCTCAGGGGCTCTCAGGAGCTCTCAGGAACTCTCAGGAGTGTACTGTCTCCACTGATCTGCTCCGCGCGCGCCCTGATGAAGCTGAGCACGTATATAGCGGACCTGATTACCCCTCTGCCTACCGGGTAGGAGGGTTACCCCTCTGGTATCTCCACTGACCTTCATGACTTCATTCATCATCCTTTCGCTAGCGCCCCTTGCCTCCTATGAGAAGACTTTCTCGCAGAAGAAAACAACTCTCAGGAGCTCTCAAGAGTGTCCTGTCTCCACTGACCTGGTCCGCCCTCGCCTTAATGAAGCTGAGCGCGTGTATAGCGGAGCGCGCGTAGTATTGACCCCGCCCCTTCATCATCCTTTCGCTAGCGCCCCTCTGCCTCCTATGAGAAGACTTTCTCGCAGACAAAAACAAAACAAAAGGCAGGCAAAACAAAATCCACACCTCAGGTCTCAGGAGCTCTTAGGAGCTCTCAGAAACTCTCAGGAGCTCTCAGGATCTCTCAGGATCTCTCAGGATTTCTCAGGATTTCTCAAGATCTCTCAGGAGCTTTCAGGAACTCTCAGGAGCGTCCTATCTCCACTGACCTGCTCCGCCCTCGCCTTAATAAAGCTGAGCGCGTGTATAACGGAGCGCACGTAGTATCTCGCAGAAGAGAACAAAATCCACCTGCACCTCTACTTTCAGGAGCTCTCAGGATTTCTCAGGAGCTCTCAAGACCTCTCAAGAGCTCTCAGGAACTCTCAGGAGCGTCCTATTCCCACTGACCTGCTCCGCCCTCGCCTTAATAAAGCTGAGCGCGTGTATGGCTGCGCGCACGTCGCCGTGCACGCGAGTCGCCAATGCCGCCAGCACGTGCGGTGGCGCGCTGAGGCCCTCGCGCGAGCACACGCGTGCTAATCTAATAATGAAGCAACCCCTGCGCTTTAGCTCTCGCTTTGACAAAGCTCAGCGCATGTGTAACGGATCTGAATACCCCCCAACCTACTGGGTAGGAGCGTTACCCCTCTTCCTACCAAGTAGGAGCGTTACCCCTCTGCCTACCGGGTAGGAGCGTCCTATTCCCACTGACCTGCTCCGCCTTCGCCTTAATAAAACTGAGCGCGTGTATGGCAAAGGGGACGAAGATATTTGACCCCGTCCATTCATCATCCTTTCACTAGCGCCCCTCTGCCTCCTATGAGAAGACTTTCTCCTCAATCCACCTGCACCTCAGGTCTCAGGAGCTCTCAGGATCTCTCAGGAACTCTCAGGAGTGTACTGTCTGCACTGACCTGCTCCGCCCTCGCCTTAATGAAGCTGAGCGCGTGTATAGCAAAGCACACGAAGATATTTGACCCCGCCCATTCATCATCCTTTCACTAGCGCCCCTTGCCTCCTATGAGAAGACTTTCTCGCAGAAGAAAACAAAATCTACCTACACCTCAAGTCTCAGGAGCTCTCAAGAGCGTTCTATTTCCACTGACCTGCGCAGCCCTCGCCTTAATGAAGCTCAGCGCGTGTATAGCGGACCTGACTACCCCCCCTACCCCCCTGCCTACCGGGTAGCAGCATTACCCCTCTTTCTACCGGGTAGGAGCGTTACCCCTCTTCCTACCGGGTAGGAGCGTTACCCCTCTGCCTACCTGTCCTATCTCCATTGACCTACTCAGCTCTCGCTTTGATGAAGGTAGCGCGTGTGTAACGAACCTGAAAACCCTCTTAACCCTTTGCCTGTAGTATCTCTACTGACCTGGTCCGCCCTCGCCTTAATAAAGCTGAGCGCGTGTATGGCTGCGCGCACGTCGCCGTGGACGCGCGCCGCCAATGCCGCTAGCACGTGCGGCGGCGCGCTGAGGCCCTCGCGCGAGCACACGCGTGCTAATCGGCTCGATATACGCTGAAGGGAGACTCCGCCCACTTGGATTATTAGGGCCACTTGCCTGGAATTAATACATTAGAATGGCATAAGATTCTAACTTTCGCGTACCATTAGGATTAATCTCAGGAGGAGGGCCTTAGCGCGCCGCCGCACGTGCGGTGGCGCGCTGAGGCCCTCGCGTGAACACACGCGCGCTAGTCGGCTCGATATACGCTGGAGGGAGACTCCGCCCACTTGGATTATTAGGGCCACTTGCCTGGAATGAATACATTGGAGTGATAATAGAATATGCCTTTATTGACTGCCTGGACGAAAGCCTAAGCCTAGGCGCAGACAACAAACCTTTAGGTGGCCGATTTTTTTTAATTTTTTTTTTTTGAAGAGACGCGCGCTTGTTGCTTGAAGAGCTTTTCATCAGCTTTAAAGGGCAGAGTGGAGAGTACAGAAGGTACTCTAGCCGTTTAGCGATCGTCGGTCGTAGACCGACCATCAAGCCATATCGAGCGCATAAGGCGCCCGATCAGTGGCGAACCCAACTAGAGGGTTGGACAAAGTCCAGCCTACGGCGGGTTCACTAGTGGGCCCGATCGAGGGGACTACGGACGCGGCCTGAGGGCGCCACGGTAGGCTCGGACCACGGCTCAGGCCGTGTCCGGGTGACGGATTGGACCTGTCCGGGGAACGGATTGGAGTTGGCCGATAGTTGGGTCGGGCTGTTAATCAGTATGAACATGTATGAAAGTGCGCACACTACACTGATTTGGTATCGCCCGATTCTTCATACAAATTAGAATGGGGCCCAACTATCGGCCAACTAAAAGTCGGTGGTCTGCTCCTAGGCTAAAACACGTGCTGGTCATACTAATTTTCAATACAGAACCACGCGCAAGCTTTAGCGAAGGCCTTAACTTGCATAAAAGTGGTAATGAATACGAGTCTCGAGGCACTGTAGGACTCAAAAGATAAGAAGACATTGAAAGAACCCCTTAGGGCTACTTTTTTAAAATAATCATTTTAACGTTCATAAGTGCATAATTTTGGTCTAAATTGAATAAAATTATTTCATTTGAATAGCTATTTCTAGCCCATTACATTAGGGAAGAAAAAACAATGCCCTTTTTGAGAGGCTAATCATCGCATTAGAATGCTAATTCACCTAAGTGTGAATATTATTACGCTCGTATACTAAGAAAAAGTACCTCAAAGGTCTCAACGAGGTGGCGTATAAGTCGTTACAGATAGCAATGACGGGCCTCTTGAGAGGTTGGACTTTCGCCTTCTTCTTGCCTTCAGAAGCTGCCGCGGTACACCATTTGACTAACAGTTCTACCGTCGGCAGCGGCGCTCCGTCGATTTCATCTGCGAAAGAGTGTATTGATTTAGATTGATCTCACACCTTATGAATACAGAGCTCAATTTAGCACGCAGATATTAGTAGCAGTACACGCGATGTAATGAGTCCGATTTATTATTATTTATTGCGAGCTCGTAGAACAGTCTTTCCCAAAGTGGGCGATAACGCCCCCTTGTGGGCGCTGCAGGCTTAAAGGGGGGTAAGAGACCCAGAAAAAAAATCGGGACGTTATGTAGAGGCTTGGGAGGCGTCATCTACTAGGAGGACTCTTAGACACCGACTGAGCTCGACTCTTGACTACAAAAATGGGGGGCGCTAAAAAATAATTTATTCTCAAAGTGGGCAGTTGACTTAATAAGTTTGGGAACCGCTGTCGTAGAACTATATTAGTAAGCATGCTACTGCCACTCTTTCCGAGGATCTGGTAAAAGGTGAATGGGGGGCAATTAATATGTTAACATCAGACCTCCACAAATCGTCTGGAAAGCGTGGGACGCGTGGGCCAAATCCTCCATTGATTTAATTAAAGTAAATTGGCAGTGGAGACTATTTTGATAGTGATTTTAAAAAATCCTTCAAAAAATGTTGACTTCGTTTTTGACTGATTACTGTTTTTGTCTACAGCTGTGGTTCTTCCGACTTCAGGGGGAGATGAGACCTTCTCCAGGGTTCTACAGTTACCAAGTAAGTGTATTTCTTTGCATTTCTTACTGATTATACAGGTTACATACATATAAGTGTATTTCTTACCTAATATAAGACAGTTGGGCCTCTTCTCTGCGTCGATAACGGAACGCATCAAAGTAGCGCTCTGAAGCGCATTACGAAACGCGTCCGTGCTGCGTTCGTCGGATGCGTTCAGTTCCACTGGTCTATACCCTGGAAAAAAGAAAACAAGGTTAATTAATCCATTGTATATGTAGTATGTCCGTTAAGCTAGCATCCGTAACACAAGCATATTAATTGCTTACTTTGGGGCTAGATAGCGCTGTGTGAAATTGTCCAAAGATAATAATAAATAATTGTATGTTACTCGTATGAATTAACACTAGCTAATAGGTGTATTAAAGGTGTGCTTAAGTAGTCTTCACAAAACCTGGAGGCCCACAAGAGACCACAAGGCAGCGCCACCTAGTGGTGAAACCTGTCATCCTCTCTCTCCACCAATTTAGTAGAATATATTTTATCCACAACAAGGAAGTTCTTGGCCTGCATCTGTTCTTATGATGCTTAGGCCAACGGTAGAAACAAGCTGCTCCTAGATTATCAACCACAGAGGAGCTATCTTACCTGCATATCCTTTTCATAAAGGTTACTAAACCTTTGTTTGTCACCTGTCATCCGCTTTGCAATGGAGGGAAGTCGAACCTTAACTTCGAACTCCTATGTTCTGATTAATTTCGTTGCGGGTCCAATGATAGTTTAACTTTCCCCTGGGACAAACTTGACCTTCACTGGTTGGGTTTTCACTGGCGGTCAAGCAGTAGATCTAGGATTTGCAGCGGTGGGAACGAGAGGTGAGAAAAGTCCCGTATCTTACCTGCTGGTAGCATTGTTGTTATGGCACATATTTAGGTATATCAGAAAGTAAGAAAAATTTACCTGCAAGCCTTGCTAATAGATGTGCTAAAGTAGTCTTCCCAACACCCGGAGGTCCACACAGCAGCGCCACCTTGTGGTGTGGTCTTCCATCCTCGTCCATCTCCGGCCCGGCCTCCTTCTTGCCTTTCCACTTGTTGCTGAGTTGGAACTGGCCGGTACGCTTGCTGAAACTGTTCCGTTGCTGAGGCTCAGTGGTTTTCACTTCTTTCTTGAACACTATCTGGAATTTGATGTAAGAAATACCCCCATTATTTTATGATTAAGATTTACGAGCAACATAATATTTCACATGCATCATTGCATTATAAGAAAGCTAAAATCTAAAGGATATGCCATTACAAAATTAAGGCTGAGGCACCATCTTATTTTGACTTTAACAAACGGTAAAAATCTGTCAAATACCATACAAAAAACACCGGATAATGTTAAAGTTACAGTCAAAGTAAATTTATGCAACGCAGCCTTCGATACATTTTGTATGAAAAATTTGGAGAAAATTAACGTGCAAACATTAATATAACTTTTTATGAATAAACCCATAACAACGGAATATGCGATTATGGCAACAATATAATAGTTAAACCCAACAATGAGTATGAGCTTATTTAAGAGATCATTGGCATGCACAAATAAATCAACAAATACCAACTTTATCCCACAAGTGCAGCCAATGCAGCAATGCCCTGTTGACAGGCTCTTCGCTTAGTAAATCGATGTACGAATGTGGCCGATACTTGTCCACCCACAAATTGTTCCCGTTGATATCTGTAGAGATGTCTGGAAGGGGCTCCTGCGATTGTCTGAGGATTTCGGCCTCTTGCTTTTTTTCTAACTGTAATTAAGAGCATATTAAAAGAAATTAAATCCTAATATAGTTTGGTTATAACTTCACTTATGTCAGAAAAATAATATCCTTAAATACATATTAAAACTTTACCATGGGCATGCGCTATTTATTGGTTTTGTGTTCATATAAATGTTATATCTCTTGTTCAAATAAATATCTCAATTCTGAAATGGTATTTCTATGAAATAAATAAGATTGAGAGGAAAAGAATATTGAGTTTTTCTCTGTGTAAATGAAAGTGTTTTTGGTGAAAATTAGTCTTAAATTGATAAATAAGTTTTTTTCTCATTACATACAATTTTCCTTGCTTCATCCCATGTCTTGGCATACATAGATTGTAACGAGAGCTGATCTTCTGTAGAGTCCAATGACTGATCCCAGGATGTCTCGGACTCCAGCCTGACATAGATTCTGTCTCCATCTGAGTTTGTAAGCGCCATGAATGGCCATCTGAAATGTTATACAGGAGTGTTCAATAAGGTGTCACAAATTGGATGATCTTTAGAATAATAATATATTGGTCTTAGCCCATGGATTACACTAATACCGGCATTTTGGAAAACTTGCTGAGAATTTAAAGATTTCAAAATAATAATATTCCTAAAGAGTATGAATTTAAAGTAGTCACATGATCCAAGTACCTACTACTTAATACCAATTTCATAATCAAACTAAGAACTTACTTAATCATTAATTACCTTGGGATATCCAATGACAGATTTTCTTTAGTATTAAACACAGGTTTATCTTCTGCTTGAGCTCTGGAAGGTTCTAAAAGCAGCTGCCTAAGTCGTCTGCTTTCCAATATTTTGTCAATCAGTTCCAAATCATTTTCTTCCTCAGTTTTTTGTTTCTTGGTTGGCATTTCCACATTATCAAAGTCTATATCACCAATATCGCCGAAAAGGTCTTCAGCAGTTCGCTTGTTGCTGTTAACAGGAGTCAGCAACTCTTCCATTGGTTGTAGACTTTGAGAAAATGAAATCTGAGTGTTGCTGACTGAAGGAGTTGCATTTCTATTTGATATAGCATCACTATTTGTTGTATCTTTATTTACAGGCTCTGCTGAAGCATTTTTGGGACCAGGACTAGAGAAATCTAAGCTCCTTTTAGCCGGTACTGGTTTCTTTTTGACGACATTTGGCTCTGTAAAAAAATACATAGAAAGATCAAATTTTGATGTACTTGACAATTATTATCAAGATAGAGCGTTATTGGCTAAGTTTGGGATGTATTTACCTATGTGGTCATCATGTTCTTTGAGTAATTCAAGATCATCGGCGTACATAAGCTCGTACTCTTCATCAGGATCCGGGTAATCACTCATTTTTATAATAAACTGTAGACTTAATAGATTCAAATTGAATGTGAATGAAAGTATTTCGTCTTTAGATATTATTGAGATTTCTGATGCACATTTATCAGCAATAACCTTATGAAAAAGTATTATTTTAGATGCAAACAAAACCTAACAAAAACGTAAACATAACCTCAAATCTGGGGGCACGGGGCACGGCAGTGCCCCCGCCAAGTCGAGCGCGAAGCAAACACTGCCGTACCATCCTTTACTGGAACCTCAGATCATAGAAGGGAATAGATGTGAAACGGGGGCGTGGCGCGTGTCTCCGAGATATGCCCAGAAACGAACATCGCCCGCGACGCCAGGTTAGTCGCGATTCAGTCGTACTGAGGAAATGTTCGCCGATATTGTTGGATAATGCGTCGTAACGTGCAATAACATAAGTGAAACGAAGAACTACAGGAACAATGAAGTCATTTACCACATGTAAGTATTGCATATCCATTGGTATTTTGCTTATAAATAAAAAAAACTAAACATTTTTACGAACGAATTCAGTGCCGTGACATTTACTGCGATATCGAAATTAGTGGTGATGAAAATTCAAACACGTTGTACATTGACGATTTAGTTAGCAACCACTTTATGTCATGCGTAACTACTGCGCAATGTATTTTATTTCTTCCGATATCCACTGACGCGTGAAAATACACAGTACGGCCGCATGTGCCGGTCGTAACATAGTGCAGGGCTCGTGTTCTAATACGGTTTCCTATTATCGATAAATAGAAGTAAATTATTATTTTCTATTTTCTAATTTTGAATGAAAAAATCATGAGTTGCTTGCGATTTTTAAGTTTTTACAAAAACAATAACAATAGTAGAAGGGATTAGTAACTGTCAACTATGTAATTACTATAAGAGCTAGTTGAAAGCCTAATATAGGACTGGAACCATTTCGCCGCATTTTCAGGCCCCTATTTGAGAACCTCTGGATAAGACCAGAACGCAGAAATTTTCGTCATCTAGTAAGCTATAATCACATACTTAAAATCCAAAATTTCAGGTCTGTAGGTCATTTAGTTCCGAAGTTAAGCGAAAGTAAAGTTTTGCATTTATGACACTCACTCACTCACTGATGATCATCAAAATAGAACTAGTACTTCCCATAAACTCAGAGAGCTGAAATTTGGTACAGAGTTAGGGTTTAATGGCCACATAAAGGGAAAACTATAAAAACTAGGAAAATCGAAGATTTGGAGTAACACCACATTCATTCAATACTACTAGCGCCACACTGGCACCGTGGTGTTCGCCTGTACCGCTCACCGGTAGATGGCGCTAGCACTTTGAGTGTCGATTTTCTGCACCGCGGTGTCCAGATTTTTTTTCCTTTCTAGACCCCCCCGTCGATTAAGATGAATGTCAATTTCGTTTATTATCGTGAGGGTAGCTAAGGTTAAGTTATTAAAACGATTCTTATTCGTTGTCCATTTTAAAGGTAAGTTTATTTGTGTTTAATATCGTAAAAAAATGTCGATAATACTTATTAAAGGACGACGACGTTAATTGATTACGCCACTTTCTACAAAAAGAAGTGAAATCCCACCAAAAACATTCTGTAAAAAACTAGCCAAGTCTCGATGGAGCTGCTTGTTTATCTCTAAAAAGTAATGAAATCTAGACAAAGTCGTGCCAAGTCTATGGTTCCTTACTGCGATTTCTTTATTATTATAGTTAATTTTGTGTGACTTGGCCGTTGAACAATCTTTATTAAGATAATCATAGGTTAAGTATTATTGAAATACGCTCAACGTTTTCCATATGGTAATTTATTTTCCATCGTCAATGGGTAGCGGTTCTGGTGACAGATTGGTGCAATGGTGTCATGGAGCACCTCGTTTTGTACCCTTCAACGGCCAAGTCACACAACATTAACTATAATAATAAAGAAATCGCAGTAAGGAACCATAGACTTGGCACGACTTTGTCTAGATTTCATTACTTTTTAGAGATAAACAAGCAGCTCCATCGAGACTTGGCTAGTTTTTTACAGAATGTTTTTGGTGGGATTACAGCTGTCATTGGTTGGCTGTCAATGTCAAACAACAAAGATGGCGCGAAAATATCGTTCAGAAATTGTTAATAAATAAGGTAACGATTTAACGCGTAACGTTTTTTTAACGATGCGATTAGACGATAAACGAAAACTAAAATAGGTACACTTTTTTGCTAAACGTAATGACTGAGAGGAGGCCACGTACTGTAAAACGCAGTATGGGTTGTCCACCCACCCACAAGGTCGAACGAAAACAACGAGCTCAAAGGTAGCAGGAGGCGTTGGATGCAAGCCGACCAACCGGGAATATCCCCAGGAATCGAACCCGGAAATTATTAGGTAAGTACATTTAATGCGTAGCTGCGTCATTTGCAGGGCAGGAAATGTTTGTTAGGGAACTTACAAAAGTATTCGTACTATATCTAAGTAGGTACATACCTATGTAGCCTACCTACATAATACCAAATAAGTAACTAATATTTAGGATTACTGAGTCAATCCAGTCTTAATTTCGATTTTACATTGTCTTGTGAAAATGTTGTAAGTACCTAATACTTAATTTATAAGCATGCACTTAATTTGGCAAGTTGCTGAAACGGTTTGATTTGAAATAAAACTACAAATTGTATATACGAAAGTTTTTTTTTAATAATTGGGTATATTTACAATAGATTAATTAACAAACGTGAGTTACATGAATAATGTTAGAAGTAGTACCTGAGTACCATCGTAATGCACATTCACACTCAATATCAAATACACTAAATATCAGAGATCTTTAGGATCGGACTTAATTTTATGGTAATTCAGTATTGGAATGTAAGCCTGTTAAAAATAAGTTAAATACAAACTTAATTGTATAAAAAATAATAACAAAGTCAAAACTAACCGTAGCAAGACCAAAAAAATATGTAAAAGCAACAATTTATTGAACAAACTTGCAATAAGCGATCTGCCAGTGGTCGAAAATCCAAATGCACAATTTAGATGTTTCTATAAGTTACAAACAGACGGCATCAAAATGGTTTTATCTAAATTGAAACAAACTTTAGATTTGAATTTATCGCCTTACCATTACCACCTTAATTACGACTTACTTACAACAATCACTGAGAAAAATAAATAACAAAATAGTGTGTATCACAAACGAAAACTAATAATAAGTTATAAACATCACAGACAACTACATTACCTAACCGTAAATGACTGGAACTTATAGTGAGATTCCTTTTATATCAATAAATACTAATAGTCCGCACCAATAGACCTCGGTGGATAATTTTACAGAGCAAATGTCAACATGTAGAGTCAACAGCACATCAGACTATACATTTTTATTGCAAAATAAGCCTTAATACAACGACGTAAAATGCCAATGTGTAGCAGGACGTGCTGTTGTCATATGACACCGAAAGTTATAGCCCTATAGTAATTTGATAGCTAAGTGAAATAATGTGAAACAGTTTTGCCTGTTTCAGTCAGTTATTAACACATCTTACACCAAAATCCAGTCTATTAGCGCGAGCTATACACTTGACTAACAGTTCACATCGCTATGGCACTCGGTTTCAAGCCGATAATCACTTTTCAAAGCCAAACTAGACAAAAATTTCCTGAAAATATTAACATCTTTAAAAAAGAACAACTGGAAGTGAAACATACGGGTAGAGTCAAAGATATTGTTAGAATGAGGTACCAAATAATATTGTTCCTTTTGTTAATGAGATTACCTTTGTCTTATACCCTACTCTTATAGTGAAACTAGTTGTTAGTTTCACTTTCAAGTATTTCTGCTTAGTAGAGCCTAAAGATTCGAGTAGGTAATTACATATTATCTACAGGAATTGACTAGACAGAAGGCGCACGCGTGACTTTAAGGGATTAACGAAATTCCCATTAAGAGTACCTAAGTAGCTCTGAATAATTAATACCTACGCCACTTGCGCATGTCGCAGTTGAATCCATAAGTTGAGAAAACGCGTTAAAAGAAGACACCATTTGTTAACTAAATAAATGTGCCTACGGCTTTTTCAAACGCCAAAACAAACTATGGGGCTTTGAAACCATCCTGCCCGAGCGCCGACCAATCCATTTCTCTAAACTATGCTATAGACTTAAAATGTAATATTTATCCCATATTACTGTACAAAACGCTTATTCATTCGCAAAATTTGTCCTATTTGTTATTATTATACTGCGTCGAACAATCCCGGACTTACAGCCGGCCATATTACGTACACTTCCATCGAAGGGCTCACCGGATTAAATATATTTAAGATATCCCTTTCTTATTGCACCCTCCCGCCTGCCAGACATTTTGCTAATCATCTAACTATATGGCAATACGATCATTTCACTACATTACGAAACTCTTAATTACTAACTAACCGCTGTCTATTGGACTAAGATCCGTCGTCACAGCACGAAAGAAACCTGACAACCTACAACATGACAGACACAAAAGTGCAACGTGAACTAACCACGCGATACCTCGGGTGTACCGCGGCGTAAGATGCACTCCGCCATCTTGGCTCTATAGGCGCCACATCAAGTAACCATTTCCTAAACATACCTAACACCCGCTACGTTCCCACAGCAGTACAGGTAATTCAGTAGTGATTTTACAGGATATTGCAGGGTCCTGTAAAATTCACACATGGAAATGTTTCACGGACGTCAAAGGCTGAAATTCAGTTATTGTTTACGAATAAGATCCTTCATATTTTTTACATGCCGCACTCATTCATATTAGCAGACGCCATCACAATTCAAATGGACAACTGAAAATCGTCTTTTCATAATAACTCTTAACTTCATTACTCAATTGAATGTTCCCAAAAATATTTAATTGATTACGCTGTTGCCGGTGGCAACAATGCCGAAATAACACAAGAGTAACTATGTTCACCTTAATTTCATCTGAATTCGTGAAAAACTATCTCAGTATCACCTGAAAATCAAGCAAATGACGACATGTGAAATCTATAAGATTTTCGGGACCCAAACTGCTTACTGGACTGCTATGGGAACGGGCCCCCATCGTTTCCCTACTTTACAGCCTAAAACAAATGTCAACTTATAAAATACATTTTAAGTGCATTTGCTTCAACTTCACCTCATTTAGAGTGGAAAACATGATTTGCCTGCGGCTCTAACCACTTCCTTCACATTAATTTACCAATTCATTTAAACAATCACGATTATCTTATAAGATAACTATAATGTGGCGCTTTTAGGCCACCTTTACACCACCACCCATCGGCGAGAGGTTGCGAATGACGTCCTACTCGACAATTTCCAAAAGTTCTCAAACTAGACTTTCTCGTATCACTATGAAACGTATTTTAGGGCTGAATATCAAATATCAACTGAACTACTAATGGAATTCCTCGTCTTATCACGTCCTATCTAATATTGAACGGAATGCAATCTGCATCTGGATCGCTGGACCGTCCCCCTTTTGGTACAGCGTCGTCTCTGCAAATGTATTTTGCATCTCCTTCTGACTACACAGTTCTTGGTCAATCATCAAGTTAGTGATCGTTAATTAATTGATGGTCATTGAGCAAATTGGTTTAATTTCTAATTTATTCGTCTCTAAAGTAGGCACCAGCGTAATAGGTATCAAGCTGGCAGAAGTAAATAGGAATTGATAGATTAATTTAATGATAAATGACTAATTTCGAAACTCGCATCCATAAGCATCCGTTTTTGAACAGCGCTCTAGTATTTTTACTAACTCGGATGATAGGTTTTAAATCTAAAATAGCTCTGATGATAAGTAGTAATAAATTTCGGAACGCTTAAGGATGGAATTCTGTAATCATCTAACACTAAAAAGGAAATCCAATTTAACCTCTACCCAAATTTTTGGAACCCCTCCAAAAACAGCTGTACACCTACTTATTGCTGTCCCACATTCGTTGAGGTTAGACGACCACTAGGCTCTGGTCCGTGAGCACGTAGAATTTTGTCCAATGACCCCAAGCTACCCATCCTTATCGCTCGCGCCTAATTATATTGCTGTCGCGACTGTGCGACGGGCGCCCGCAGTGAGTGTGCGAGCGCGACATCAACATAATTACGCGCGAGCGATAAGGATGGGTAGCTTGGGGTCATTGGACAAAATTCTACGTGCTTACGGACCAGGCTTTAGAACATTGACGATTGATCAAGTACTGCAGTCATGATAAGCCGACATCAGACCCGGCTGGGGCGGTCGGTGAGGGCTAACCGGAGGACGGCGACCTCCGTGTGTCAGGCGGCGGAGAGGGCGAGGGGAGGCGCGGGGGCGGGGTGCGCGGGCGCAGGCGGCGGGCTGTCAATGACCCCGCACGCTTTCAATTCAGTGAACACTTCTGTGAAGAATCCTGGTTCGGAGTTGATTCGGAGCATGTTGAAGGAGAGGCGGTCGACGATGAGCAGACAGCGGTCCCAGAACTTGTCTTTGGAGTCTTCGACGAGGAAGGGCTTGAGGGGGTAGGATATCTCGTTGCCCATGTATGAGTAGGAGAGGTAGAGGCAGGTGAGCACTACCGCCTGCAGGTCTTGGGGCCGCGCTATGCGTTCGCCGTCCACCAGCTCGCGGACCAGCATGTATACGAACACCACGTTCGCCGGGTTGATGAACGCCACGTCCTGGAATGAGAGAATATATCGGTCAGACTCGGTGCAAATTGCATCAATTTACAAAATATAAATGCAATATTTGCGTAGTAAATTAGTGGCTACGATTTGCTACGAAATGTAAAAATATTCGCTGAAGGTACCAATTTTTTTTTACTCTAGACAAGATATCCTAATTTACTCTGCGAACCGATATAAAGAATAAATGCTTCGTAGTATCAGCTACTGAAGAGTACTGTAGATTAAGTTCAGAATAGAACAGATTTTTATACTACAGAATATGCTACGGTGGCTACGACGCTCCTACGAGGTATCGTAGCCTAGTTCTCGTAGTATTAATGAGTTGTATTTGTTTGCTATGACAGCTTTTCCCAGACTGTGATGTGAACTAAGATCAAATGAGATCAAGATATTTATACTACAGAATATGCTACGGCGACTACGACGCTGCTACGAGGTATCGTAGCCTAGGTTCTCGTAGTATAAATAGAAATGTATTTTTGTGCGATGACAACTTTTCCCAGACTGTGAACATTCAGTACCTCTAGTAGGAAAAACTTTCGAGTTCGTTTCGTTGCGTATTCAAAGTGTCATCGAAAAATTTTGTATGAAAAATTAAACAGCGCCCCCTAGGGCGGCTATAATATAGGGGGCGCTGTTTAATTTTTCATACAAAATTTTTCGATGACACTTTGAATACGCAACGAAACGAACTCGAAAGTTTTTCGTACTAGAGGTACAGTAAGCTAGATCAATTTTATTTATGATCAGTAAGATTTTTATACTACAAAATATGCTACGGTAACTACGGCACTTCTACGAAGATCTTAGCCTAGTTCTCGTAGTATAAATTGAATAATGTATTTATTAATTTGCTATGACAGCTTTTCCCAAACTGTGATGTGAAGATTTCAGTTAAACTAAGGTCAAATAAGATCAATAAGATTTTTGTACTACAGAATATACTACGGCGACTACGACGTCTACGAGATATCGTAGGGTTCTCGTAGTATGAATTGAAATGTATTCGTTTGCTATGACAGCATTTCCCAGACTGTGAACATTTTAGTGAGCTAAATCAAATAAGATCAATAAGATTTTTATACCACAGAATATGCTACGGCTACTACGATGCTTCTACGAGGTATCATTAGGTAGCCTAGTTTCTCGTAGTATGAATTGAGTAATGTATTTGTTTGCTATGAAAGATTTTCCCAAACTGTAAACATTCCAGTAAGCTTAAATCTGTAAGAATTTTATAGGTACTACAGAATATCCTACGGCGACTACGACGGTTCTCGTAGTACTATAAAACAAAATGACGTATTTCTATTACGACGACAACTTTTCCCAGACTGTGAACATTCTAGATCGTTAGTTCAAATAAGATCAATAAGATTTTTTTACACTACAGAGTATGCTACGACGACTACGACGCTTCTACGAGGTTCTCGTAGTATGAATTGAAATTTATTTTTTGCTACGATAACTTTTTTTTAACATTTTAGTTAAAAGATAAATCAAAACCAGATTACTGTTTAAATACGTGACACACACAGTTTGCCAGTCTATGTATAGAGAAGCTACTCTGGATTTACGTGAATTTTCTTCATAAACTCTACATATTAAAACAACTTGTATTTGAAAGCAGTAGAATGTAGGTAATAAGATAAAGTCAACCACATGATTTCTACATTTTCTTGTGCCTACTCTTAGCATCCTGAATTTAATTAATTAATACATACTTATAAGTACAACATTACATAATCCGAGTTAATAAGAATCCATTTCATTGAATCGCTTATTAATCTATATATCTTATCTATATATATAAAAGGAAGTCGTGTTAGTTACTCCACTTATAACTCAAGAACGGCTGAACCGATTTAGCTGAAAATTGTCAGGGAGGTAGTTTAGAGCCAGGAGAAGGACATAGGATACTTTTTATCCCGTTCGAAATTAAAAAATAAGTCTGCTTATTTATTGCCATTAAGGCGGAACAAAGTTCGCCGGGTCAGCTATAATTTATGAAACAACTTGACATTTCACGGTTGCCCAATACGCGTTATAAATAGGCTACTCTTTTATTTAGCACTTACAAACAACGTGCGAAGAAGTGCGTCATCAAATAAACTTGGGTCCTTCGAAGTTTACGTGAAATGAACCCTTAATCATAATAGAAAAAAAGTTATTTTCGGTTGAACTTCGTGAGCAATGTTCAAAACCGAAGTTGTTTAATAACATTCCTGTTTTAGTTTGACGTTTGGCATTTATCGCCTGAAAACGGGTGGGCGAGAATAGGGTCTGTAACACGAGCTTGTACAGTCAGCGTCAAATAGTTCGTGATGCCCAAAGTGGCCAAAAACACAACCTTATTCCAATTGTAACAAAGATGTGTTGCGAACTTACTGGCTAAGTACTTTGGGTGTCACTGGGATCTATTTGACGCTGACTGTACCTCCTGTCTACTCGTACTAGAAGGAAAATTACTGTACATGATACTTTGAAAGTTGTTGAAATAGAAACAAAGGTCATAAACCACTTGTATACCATTATCTGTGTTGTGTAGTGAAAAACATTTTATTTTCTTTTTGATTACCTACGTGCGTCTTACATAAAAATAACAACAACAATGTTAACAGCATTGTTGTGTTCCGTCAGTTAAAAGTAAGATAGCCAGTTCCTCCGTGGTTGAGGATTCCTGGTGAAGCTCGCTTCCACCTTCGGCCTGATCGTCATTTACCATCAGGTGAGATACAGGCCACGAGCTTCCTCGTTGTCTCTAAGATTAATAAAATGTGCCAATAAAAATATGATGCTTGTTTCCGAGATAAATTACAATGTAAAAAAACATTTTGAAGTCTGTTTCTGTCTGTTTTATCAGCCTAATTTCCACCACGGCTGTACCAATTTCAACGGGACTTTTACTGGCAGATCGCTAATGATATTAGAAGGAAGCCTATTTTATTTTAGAAATGGAATTAGAATAATTGTTATCATAAAAAGCTCATCATGATAGACGAAATATAGTGGGTGAACTGTAACTCCTGTGTAGCCAGGATCTACAGCTTCACCCCCAACCAGTGAAGGTCAAGTTTGTCCCGGGGGAAAGTTAAACTGTCATTGAATCCGCAACGCTACTAATTAGAAGAACATAGAAGGAGACCGAAGTTAAGGATCCAGTGGAAAGCGGATGACAAGAGACATAAAAGGTTTAGCAACCATTTCTCTGTAGTTTCAAATGATTCCACACACAATAGTGAACTTTATAAATCAGTCATAGTGTAAAACGAGAATAGACTGATAAAAATAGACACCTTGACCCATAAGCCTAGAAAACTAGTGGTGGTTCACATCTGACCCGTCAAGTCAATCGATATGTGAACTTGTCCAGATGCCAACAATGTACAACTTACAACTGATGCACTATTTGCATATGCAGCAAATAAGTTAATGATAGTAAATAGTAGTAGGTTAGCAGCATGAAATCTTACCTACGAGTTAAAATTATTTTTGGTGTTCTTTCGCTTTGAATATTTACAGATTCTTTATAATTTAGACTAATGAACTGTGAATAAATGTTTCACCCTAGTTACCAGTTAGTAGTTGTTTGTTCAGTTTTAGAGTACTTATTATTATTCTGTGGTTTTAGTCCTTTTAGTAAATAACAAAGTTCACCAACGGTCTGCGTCTCTACGGACTCGACCCAGGGACAACCAGAATAAATGATAGCACCCACTACGCAACTTTAATCAAAGTATGACTCTACCGCGAAAGGAACTATCAAAACAGCATCAACTGTTTGTACTTGCTGTCATACTTCGCAAACACGCCCTCTTCCCATATAACCCGCTTCTTAACGCTGACAAACGCAGGAAGGGTAGGTACTGTATGCTCCACCGTCCAATTCCAAACAAAATTTGCCCACAGATTCTTTTGTTTTCTGGGAAACCGACTCTACAACAATGCTAATTCTACCCTCACCATCTACCCTCTTCTGCATCGTGAGTGTAAAAAGAAAGTTCCAGAGTGGCTCATGGACTTGAGCTATGATGAAACCGAAAAGCTAATAACAGTGTTTACATAAATACCAAAACAAATAGGAAATTATTATTATTATGGTAGTATAGGTTAATATATTATTTACTTAACATTCTCTAAAGAAGCACTCACATTCACGCGCGCACACACACACACACACACACACACACACACACNGCATAGGCATCAGACTCACACAAGAATGAACATCAAACGTATCTTATACATTTACTATGTAATTCTGTACGATTTTTTTTGTGTGAGTAAAATAAAGATTTATTATTATTATTATTTAGGGCCCTGTAACCACGGTAATATTACCGTGCTGTAACTTTTGTATGTATTTGTAGAGATTCTTTCACAATTATTATTAGTTTTATTTTACTCATATTTTTAAATTTTATTAAAAGGAAAAAATTGGAAACTTATCCATTAAGCTGATTTTTGTCTTGAATTTGTGTTAGTCCAGGAGAAGTTCAAACGGTACGAAGTTCGCTGGGTCAGCTAGTAGGTACCTAAATTAATTCTTGTGCCATACAAAACTAAGCACCGAAAGAAGAAACTCCTTGCCAGACAACCTTTTGAGGGTTGCTGCAAAAGCCCCGATGACCCAAACTTCATGATGCACCAACATTCTAACCTAAGTAGGTATAGGTACCTATTGGGAGCATATGCTGACAAACTTTCAGCGTTTATAAATTACGTAGGTCTGGCGTTCACCAGCTATTAAATTACATAATGATATCGATATTTGCCAGTTTCTACGTACTTTCCTTAGGCTAAGAACTCACGGCGCGATTTTCACCCGCGCCCGCTGCGATTGTGGAGTTGTGGTTTTATTTTAAAACTCACGGGAGCGTTTGTTTGCGCGGTTAGGCTAAGAACTCACGGCACGATTTTCACGCCAATCAAGTCACTGATCTACTAGTTGTCGCGATTCTACTAGTCGCCCGCCGGTGCCGCGGGACCCG